TCTAAGTCGTGCAGAAACAGAAGGGTTATTATATCTTGAATCCATCCACTCAAAGCCCAAACGAACATGGGTAATTACGGTGCACTGGAGAGCGCCGTTCGAAGGTGCACATGGCGCCGAAACGCACGCCATAGTGCAAAACGGCCACCTCCTACTGGCGACGTTTTTATGGAAAGTGTCGCTGTGATCAGCCTTACACTACCTTCCACGATTGTACGAATGCTATGACGTCAGCAAAAAACCTATCATTGACAGGAAAAAGAGTAAAGTAAGAACTTCAATTTTGACGGTGTTGGCAGTGTTGGTTTCAGAACGCAATGATTTCAAGCTTCCACCATGTTCATCATAATGTCAAACCACCTAGCACAATCCAAGTATTGTTAGAATTCATTACAAATACCATTTAAATTGTTGTTTTCAAGGTAACGACGTTACCAAAAAGAACCATAGGAGGGCGCCACCAAAACATCTTGCCGCTAATAAAGCAAATTCGCAACACTTTTTTTGCAATAATTTGAGCGTTATTATATTGATGAGCAGTGCCCGCAGCTGTCCCCATTGGTTTCCGTGAAGACGCTTAGCTATTGGCGTCACTATTGATGTTTCCGAAACGCGAAAGAATGGCGAGATGCTTCGTCGACGACAGAATTCTCCAAGTTCGACCGGGAACGTTTTTGGACCGCGTATACTTATGCGTGCTCCGCTTTGTCTCCTTTCGCAGTTGCCTCGGCGGCATCCACAGGGGCCGTTTCGGCTGCCGGCGGATTGACTTTTCTTATCACTTTAAGTTTAAAAAGTTCATGTATGTATAAATGCGAAGTGCCGGCCGATGCCATTTCATGTTTCCGACTACTCTACCTGGCGCAGTCTATCACAACGCAAAATGACTCGAGTGAGCTGAATGAAAAACGATGCCTCAGTGCATAAAAATACATAGGGCAAAAGTTCATCAACCCGGCGTCCGGCAAGAGTTCGAGCAGGGTATAGTACTGTCGCGGGCAGAATTAGCTATAATACGGCAGCCGTGACCGTTCCGCACTCTCAGCGCCACATAGCAAGGGCACTTTAAAACCGCGTCTACCCGGTTTACTGCCACTACGACTTATAATCGTATTACGGCTAAGTGTTTAATACGACGGATAATTGCATCGCGACTAAACGGGAAATACAACGGGAAATCGCATTACGACGGACTGACTCCGAACGGCTAAGTGTGCAGAACGACGGACAGACGCGTTGTGACCAAGCGTGCCCCTCGGCGGGCCATGGCGGCACGCCGGGCAGTCGTACAGCGACTTAACGTGCATTACGACCAACCGGTCCTCCGCGAGCCTACAGGTGACACAATCCGGAAAGTTCATTGCGCTCTGCCATGAACGCGCTAAACATTCTAGCCCAGGAGGAGAAGGACAGGCGCATATTCGGCATCCTGCTTTCTTATCGCTTCTCCTCCAGTATTGGGAGACTCACCAGAATACAGCGTGTACTTGACTGGGCGCGACAAGGTTACGTGACGCATCTGAGAACTCGCGGAATACCAGATTGTCGCGTCGGGCAGGAACTCAGTTCTGTCCAGAGATACACGTTTTTGTGCAGGGTCACAGATATTCTAGAATGAGACAACACCATGTTGCTGAATCCTTCTTTTAGATATGTTTTAATTCATATCTACCGTGAAGACCTAGCTGGTCTCCAATGACAATTTGTTCTTATATCCTGAAGACCAAATAGTCGGTGATTGCTCAATAAATTAACAAACTTATAGGTATGGCGAATTTCTTAAAATCTCTGAATAATAAATAACGTAAACAACCGTGCATGTTATACAGTGTTTAGATCATAAACGAACATTTCATTTCTCGTACAAAGCAGGTTTATTCTGCTGTTGCATTCGTGATTGTACGACATCACAGGAGAATATGGGCAAAAAATGAGTCGTAAAAGCTATAATATGGCCTCAATATGTCGCGGAATAACGAATTTCACTTGCACTCGATGGTGTGCATTCGAACGCTATCTCGAAAGTTGTGTGCTACCACTCCCAGAACGCACTGGAATCAACTGCTAAAAGCTTGGGCTCTGTAAAATTGCCCATACTTTGTTGTACCGGTAGTATGAATGCTTCGTCTCCACCCGCATTGCGGACAGAGAAAATCTGGCTGACAGCGGGGCCCGAGCTGCCGGCCCAAGCACCGCCGTCCCTCACTGCACCTCCGGCCGGGTGAGTGGATATTTTTTAATGAGTCATCCACAGACCGCCGCCGCGAAGCGGCGTGCACGGGGAGGGGGAGGGTGCTCGGACGCGCCCCATTGATACTCCCGCCGTTCCCCACTCCGCCTCCAAAGAGGGGTGACCCGCTTTCCCTTAAATTCAATCTGGGTCTCGAGGGGAATCGACCCCGTAAGTGGCTACGTGGGTCTAAACAAATCATTGCTATGGACTACTGCATGGAGACTCCATATGAGGTTAACTTTTTGCTTACAAGTAAGTAAATAATTTTTTTATAAGCAACCTAACTTCTTGATATCTAAATCTGAAGATGTTCTTGTCGTCTCGGTGTCGTATTGCAACGATGAAAGCCATTTTTGAAGTATACACTCCGTTTTGCTTTGGTAGCAGGCGACACGATAGATTTGCTGTACTCTGTTGCAGCCGGGGTATACATTCAATTGCGTCGGTAAACGAGCGACAAAAACAAGTGCATCGCCATGGCCATAAAGGCCTCCGCAATGTGCGTTTTTTTTTTTTTTTTTTTTTAAAGAGCCCAGCTTAGTTCAGAGGTGTGAAAATGCCGTAAAATCAAACCACGTCATGCAGATCAGTTTCGACGACAACCTGAAGTGCATTACCGGCGTAGTGCAGGCCAGCATGAGAAACAAATCGTACGCCGTCGAAGTAAGTCATTTATAATTATTATTATTATGAAGGCTGGTACTAAACTGGTACTAAGAGCACAATGAAAAAAACATCACCAAAGGTAGATATATAAGCATAAACAAAATAACCGGATGGCGCATGGACACAGGCAAGCTTCTCAACGCTATTTTACCATAGCAGTGTAAGACTGCTGTGAGTTTGAGCTGAATTTTACACTCACTACTACTGGCATGCCACTACTTTATCAATATTATAGTAATAATATATAAATATAGCGGCCATAATTTAAGACATTATGACCGAACAGAATATGGGTTTTACATTCTCTCGGTTGGTTTGGCCTTCTTTTTTTTTACATCAAGGCAACTGTTCGCCAGTGCTACATGTTTGTTTCTTATCCAGTTCTTTCGCGCTTTGGGGTCTTGCGGAAATGTGAAGGAACTGCAAGAATCTTTTTCCACGCGATGCTTACAACCAAATACGAAGCACCCTCCCATAGCGCGAGTCCGCAAACAAAATTTGAGATCTCAACCGATCGCCTGGAGTGCTTTTCTCACAGGTGAAATGCGATCGCTTCGCAGGTGCAATGCGATCGATCCATTTCGAATTATTAAAAGTATCTGAAACTCATTATATTTCAAACATATGCAATATCAGAATATAGTCTTTATTCACACGATTCAAACGACGGCGTCGGCTCGGCCGGCCGGCGTGTGGCACTTATTGCATTATGGCATTCGTCGTCTGCTACAGGCTTATTGAGGACCAAAAGTTGCACTCGTAAATATTTCAGAAACAAGCGATCGCCGTCCCCCACTTCGCGGTACCAAAGTTGGCCAAGGGAACGTCGACGGTCGGTTGCTAAATGTTACGTCACGGCGTTGCTCTTTATAAGCAGCTAATCGAGTACAGCTTCCGGCTCTTTGCGTCCTATCGCTTAGCCTCGTGAAATATGGAACCCGCCGCCATCTGTCGGCGTTTGGAAAAGGTGTTTCCTAGCCTTTTTTCACAGCCAGTGGAGCTGTGGCGTCATCCTGGGGCGAGGTTGCGAACTTTGAATACGCGGGCTCCAAACCACTTCAAGGGCGGCGCATGTACCAAGGCACTAATGCTAACGCATTAAAACATGAACCGTCGTACCGCCCCATCATTGTTGTGGAAACGAGCGAGACGCGTGCCACGAGCCGGCGCTCCTCCGCCATTCGCTTCCAAGAGCCGCTCATTTCAGTGCTCCACCGCCATTTGCTTCCAAGGGCTGCTCGAGACACGTGTCTCGTACACTGGAGCATTAGTGTCACGTTTCCCGACGAAAAAGAAGAAGAGAAGAGCGAGTATCGAAGAACGGCAGGCGGTCATTCTGCACAAGGATTGGACCTCGGCATCGCTCCGGGGCAAGTGCACCAGCGGCTGGCCACGCTCCAGCACCGCTGGGACACTCCATCCTGCCGCCCAGATTGCCGACGGTGCTATTGCTTCATGGACTGCTAGTCCGAAAGGACGAAGAAGCGGACAAGAGGCGAGAGAAGAAAGATTATCAGAGGCAGCGGAGCCGAGATTTCGGCGACGATCCGAAGAGAGGCGCAGCTTCAATATCGTGCCCCCAAGCCACTGAAGGGACTTCGGCGATGACCAGGGGAAGGCTCGGAAACCACCGAAGAGGAAGAAAGGGGACCTCGACATTGACTCGACGATGGCGTGGGACTCTCAGCAGCGACCCGTGCAACCAAAAGGGTGAAAATGAACTTACGAGTGAGAGATTCGATGGTGACAAAAACCAGTGGCAGCGAATCCCGTCAGTGACACGAAAAGAGACCACCACCGGGTATTTCACAGACGCAAACTGACCTGACCGTTGTTGTTGTTGAAGCGATGTTTATTAGGAAATTGACGTTGTTGTTAGTTACGCTCTGGGCGCACTTGTCACTGTCGCTGGGAAAGGGAATTAAGGAAAAAAAGAGATAGAGGAGGAGAGAGGGGGAAGGGGGAAGAGGATTTCTTCAGAGTGTTGACTTTCCTACGGATTTTGATACAGAATTGCGATTCCTGGAACTCCCGAAAACCTCTGGATGTAAGATCTCTAAGAGCCCCAGGAGCTGCAAGCAACCCAAATCTCCTGGAAGCCTTAGAGGATCTCGAGGAGTTCCGCGTTCCTCAGGAAGCTGACTACACTCTTGAGTGCCTTGTCCGTAGTAGCTCGTGAGGCTCTTGGACGCAGGAGTTCTTCCAAGTTGGTACTAGGTAGCCCTATGCCGGAAAAAGCATCACGTAGGTTGGTGCGCTCCTCTTCGTGATCACTGCGGTGCAAGAGGAGATGTTCGGCGTCGGCCGTTTCCTCGCAGGTCTTGCATATGGGGTCAACATTGAGTCTGAAGCGACTTATCCACGCCGGGGTGAAGGCGCTTCCGGTCCGTAATCTGTGCATTACTGCGGCAGTTTGGCGGTCGAAGCCGCGCGGTACCCGAGCTGGGAAGGCACCCGCCACCACTACGGGGTCCGGATGCTGTAGTGCGATGGCTCTTCTCACAAGGAGCTTTGCGTCTGAGAAGCGGGGAACGGTTGAAAGGGGGCACTCGGGGTCCTTGTGAGCCCGCACCGCTAGAAAATCAACGACTTCATTGCCTCTAATGCCACAGTGGCTCGGGAGCCATTGGAAGGCAATGTCGTTGCCTTCTTGCTGAAGCTCGACCGCATCCTGCGCGATTGAACGGGCCAGGGGCGTTGCCCGTTCGAGCCTAGATAGCAGCTCGAGGGCTGATCTTGAGTCGCTCAGGATGACCCAGCGTAAAGCCTGTGTGCAGCCTGTCCGAATACCCCAGAGGGCGAGCCGTATGGCTGCTAGCTCTGCCGTGGTGGAGGATGCCTGGTGATCCAAGCGCTCACTGGTACCCAGAGCCGCTCCCTCGAAGAAAGCCGCTGCTGTTGCTGTGCCTCCGGAGGGGTCCACTGATCCGTCGGTGTACACTCGGGTCCACCCGTCGTTCTGGGTAACTAAGTGGTCTTCCGTGAGCTGCCTTGCTACGACCACTGCTACGTTCTTCTTGGACCGCAACCCAGGGATATGAAGGCTGATCCGCAGGGGGTGGGGATCTTTGTGCAGCTCTGGGAGTCGAGCGAGTGGTCCTGGTGTGCCAGCTATGTCACCAAGAGTGCAGAGGTGCGCTCCTAGTCTTGATTCAGCGCGCTCGGCGATCCTCATTAGGAGCGTGATGGTCGAGTCGCAGTTGCTCATTCGAGTCAGATGACCCAGCGCCCGTTCTTGCATGATGTTCTCTACAGAGTTAATCCTGGATTCTGTGAGCGTATGTCGAGACGAGGCTGTGCGGGGAACCCCGAGGCAAATCCTGAGTGCCACGCGTTGCGCTTGTTCAAAGTTTTTGAGCTGGTTGGCACTGAGTATGGCGAGAGGTAGGGCATACAATAGGCGGGCCAGGATGAGCCCCCTATACAGTTGCAGCATCATGTGAGATGAGGTTCCCCAATAAGTTCCGCCGAGCATCCGGAGGATGTTTGTATGGGTTCGCATCTTTTGAAGAACTTCCCTCATTGCTGGGCCTCACGATAGCCTTGAGTCCAACGTGACGCCAAGATATGTGGCCGTTTTCGCCAGTTTCACTGGAGTGTCCCCAATGCGTAGTGTGGGCATGAACTTGCTTGGACTCTTTGGAGCGTAGCACAGCTCAATCGTTTTTTCGGCTGATATTGCCAAGCCCAGTTGGTGGAGACGATACACTGCATTTGTCAGGGCTCGCTGGAGAGCGCATACCATACGTTGCCTTCTGTAGCTGGGGGCAGTGGACCAGAGTGCCACGTCGTCTGCATAAGCGGCCATGCTGATAGGGTACGCCGGCTCTTCTCCAAACCTTGCCGCCGCTGGGAGTGACGCGATGGCCAGAGCAAAGAGTAGTGGGCTAACAACGCTCCCTTGGGGAACTCCTCGGATGATTTCCCGGGGGTTGCTCACCGCGTTGCCTGCCTTTACACACATAGTGCGTTCGCTAAGAAACGCACAAATGTATTTCAGTGGACGTCCGTTTACCCCGAAACGGCGTAGAGCTGGTATGACGGCCTTGTGGGGGAGGGCATCAAAGGCTTTGCGGACGTCCAGAAAGACGGCCACCGCTGACCAATCCTGCGCTTTTGCCTCTTCCAGTGAGCTGACGATATCTCCCATTGCATCTACTGTGCTTCGATGGTGCCGGAATCCCGAAAAACAGTCCGGTAAAGCCCTTGCCCCTTGTAGGTGGTAAACAAGACGGCGTAGCACCATGCGCTCCATCACTTTCCCGAGGCATGATGTCAAGGAGATAGGCCTGTATGAGCTTAGCTGGTCTTGGGGATTGCCGGGCTTCAGCAGTGGTATCGTTGTTGCTACCCTCCAGGAGTCTGGCACTTTGTTGATGAGAGCTAGCATCGCTGGGAGTGCCGACTCGTTGACGTTTCTCAGGGTCTGGTTGGTGACTCCATCTGGTCCTGGTGACGCGCGGTGTCTGGGAAGGGAATCAAGGACGTAGTGCAGCTCGTGCAGAGTAAAGTCGGTGTCCGGTTGTTGCATCAGAGGTGCCGTGGGATGACGGAACTTGTCCCAATTCTCGGGGGGCGGTCCCACTGTCAGTACCAGCGGAACTTTAGTGAAAGTATCCGCGAGGAGTTCTACCATGTCCGTTGGTCGTAGGTTCATGGCCACGGCCATTCCTAGGACTGGGTTTCGGGGAATCGGGCGGCCCGCCAGTGTTCTCGACATCCTCCAAGCCCGGCTTCCTCCGGGTGGCCTGTCTAGAGTACTACGCTTGAGACGCCATTGTCGGAGCGCCAGTTTCTTCCCGTGTTTCCTGAATCTGGCATCCAGTCGCCTATAGGCCAGGATATCCTCCGGTTTTCCGGTGACCCATGACTTTCGCTGGGCTCGCCGTCTTCTCGCTCGGAGTTTAAGCCATTCGAGGTCAGGGTTAGGATGTGTTAATGGCACGCTGACTTCACGGGTGGCTTCTTTGAGGACGCACGACAGTGTTTCTGAATTGAAGGGAAATCCCCCCTCTAGTGCTTCTCCACGCAGTGTCCTGTAGTGGTCCCAGTCGACTATCTGGGAAGTCCTAAGGGGGACTTTTGGCGGTCTTCGAATGACAATTGGAAGGTGATCACTCCCCCAGCTGTCCGCCTGAGGGGTTGCACTGAGCCTCAGGGACCAAGTTGTGAAGGTGAGATCAATCACGCTTCCCGTCACTCCAGGGCGGATAAACGTCTGGCTCTCCCTTGTGATGTTCTTCAGGTCAAGTGCTTCGACCGTCGCCTGTAGCTCCCGTCCCCGTGGGGAGTCTTGCTTGTCTCCCCAAGACTGCGAGTACGCATTGAAGTCTCTGGCTACTATAAGGTCTCCCTTGGCTCGGACTCGAATGTCCGCAAGTACATGGGTGTCCCAGGGTGCGTTAGGGGCCACGTATACCGAGACGATGGTGAGTGGACGTCTTCTCCATTCCACCGTCACCGCCACAAACTCCGCACTCTCAGTGCATAAATCATTGAGGTCCACCTCACTTTGCGGCAACTCTCGACGCACTAGTAGTGCTGCCCGCGGAAACCCTCTTGCCACATATGGTTTGCTGGCGTACACTACATGATCCGCAATGCGCATGTCGCCGGCTGACATTCGTGGTTCTTGGAGAGCTACTGCATTGTGGGCGTTGTCCAATAGGTGTTTGCGGAGCTCAGGGAGTCGCATTCTCAATCCGTTACAGTTCCATTGAAAAACTGAGCAGGAGAGGGGTTGAAGATGCTTGGTGGTCCTCCTATTAATGTCTCCCATCGTGGATGAGTTGGTGTGGGCAGGCGAATGGTGGAAAATTGCTGTCCTGCAGCTTTGAGATCTGTGATTCATACTGGTGTATGAGGTGTTTGTGCCTTAAATTATCTGATGAAAGCGTTTTACGAAGCGTATACCATATAAATGTGTAGAGAGCTTGTGATGAACAGGGTTCCTTCCACTCCATTGCAACAGACTCACTTTCAATATCATCTGGCTCATCTGTTCGGTGCCATTTAGCTTTCGAGTTACAGTGAAGAAAATATCTGTACTGTCAAGTAAGGCTTTCTTGGAAACGCTCTAGCATAGCATTGCAATAATGGGTTCTACTGTGAGGACGGCTTTGATCACTTGATGAAGTGTTGATGTCTCTGACGTTGTGGCCAGTATCTTGCGAAGAGCACTGAAGAAATTGAGAACAAAACGAGCGTGTTGGTAACGGTAATTAGACATGAGGAAGATACATAGAAAGGGGGGACGGACAACGGACAACGTTGTCCGTCCCCCCTTTCTATGTATCTTCCTCATGTCTAAGCACTGAACATAAGTGGGATTATGGCTTTAAACACAGAGTCAGTCTTTGTTCCACTTTCTTGGTTGGGTCCCGTCATGTGCACGTTGGAGGTCTTATGTGAAGTGATGTTTTTGATGTGTGGTTTGTCCCAAAACGAAGGTTTCCTAGAAATTGGCACTGTAGTTGTTGCGGTACATTTAGCGGTGACTAGACTTGCAGGCGTGCTCTCTACGTCTTCGAGAGGGGGGAAGTCTTGAGGAGTCAGAGGCAGAGTATTGTTGACGGAGGCGCTAGATTCTTGTATGTTGTTTGAATTCGTTGTTTTGTTTGCCTGTCTTTTTGCATGCACAGCACTTTTTGCCTCACGAAATGTGGTGTTGTGCTCTAACTTGTACCTCGCTACTTCTGCCTCCCTTGCGCTCACTGGGCACTCAGGTGCGTTGGAGGCGTGATTTCCGTGACAGTTGACGCAGCACGGGTTTGCTTCGCACTTGTCTTTGTGGGATTGTCCACACCGAGAACATAACTGGGTTTCTTCTGCGCAGGCAGCTGCGATGTGGCCGAATTTGTGATACCTGTAGCACTGCAAGGGGCGTGCTCGGTAGGGAATTACTTCCCTTCTTACAAGACCGACATTGACATGTTGAGGAGCTACTTTTGTTGCGAACGACACTCGCACAACGGGTGATGTTTTGCCAAGGCGCTTCACTTTTGTTATGGAGGTGACTGACTGTAGTCGCGTTTTTATGTCGGTCTCTGTGCAGTCAGGGTCGATGTCTCGCAGGACGCCATAGCAATTTGTGTGGTCGCTAGGTAGAAAAGCACGCACCGCCAGTGCGCATAGCTTGGTTAGCTTCAGGAGTTCGGCTTTGAGTGCAGGCTTTTTAACGTCAACCGCAACGATATTACGAGCTTTGTTGATACGAACTACACTAACCATGTCTGGTGCGACGTTGTTCAGGTAGTCAGTCAGTTTAAATTTGCTGAGCGATGCAACCTTACTGGTGTCAGTTGGCATGCACAGTACGGTGAATCCGACTTGTAGGTTGGTCTTCTCTTTAGAATGCGATGCTGAGCTCTGGCTTGTCTTTCGTCTTTTCTTGCCATGAACGACCTCGTAGTCACCGTCGTCGGAGTGCAACTCGTCGTTAGTAGACACGATTGTCGATGAGGAACTGCTCATTGTATCAGCGGCGTAGTGTATGGGCGGAATCTCATAGCCGTCTTTGATGATCGTCGATGTGCTTGCCTGAGCTTCATCCATGTCGATGGACATGGGAGCGTTCAATGACTCGATGTTCGAGGTCATATTTGTTGATGTCCTGGCCTCCCCTCAGGAGGTCATTTGCGCACGAAGATCCTATGTCGTTCTGTGAGTTGTTAACCGCCGAATGTACTGTTTAGACACCCAATTTATCGGCTACGTAAGGAAAATTCAGAGACACGAAAAGGGTTACCAGCAGCGGTTTCGTCGTCGTCTTCTTCGGCCTGACCTGACCGATCTGGGCTGTACCATCAACACCCCAGAACGAGCACCAGATCGTCGAGTGCATACGAATGCGTGAGACTATTGATAACTTTTGTACACTTGTATTAGTTTCTTAGTGCTCTTCCTTCGTCTTGCTTTGTGTAATATAGCTTCATTCCTTTCATCGTTGTGCACTGATTTTTTCGCCAACGGTTTTACCCTGGACCGGGACAATTAGACGCTACTTGCAAGACAAACGCGAACACCTCGAGGGCCTTTAGGTATGTCCCCTTTGTTGTTGTTGTTTTTGTTTTGGCTGACTTGTTTCCGTGAGTCAGGGGAATTATCGTATCCGAAAGAGACACCCACAAAAGCCGAAAAAACGTCGGCAAGCGCTTTGGCGGCGTCTGCTTAGCACCTAGAAGTCGAACCGGCAAGGACGTGATCGCAACCTGGAAGGTGTGATAACTTGAGCAGACGACATTCCAACGGGCAAAGAGGGCTTCTTTATTGACCGTGCTATACTTATAGGCGCTTGTCACGTGACATCCGTGACCGGGGTGCGCACAGCCGATGCGCCGTGGTGCGCCGTGACTTGCAGCGCCACGCTGCTACATTCCTTCCCCCTCACATCAGCTTCGGAAGTCCTCCGGTTTGTACCTGTCCGGTGGACGCCGCACTCGCGTACTTCTTCTGGAAGTCGGTGCCTCAGTACAAGGCTCCGGTGTCGTCACTGGCGCACTTGTGGAACTCGGTGGTGGAAGC